AGCATATGTTCCGGTCAGGTGGTCAGCCGAACAAATAAAGTTGTAGTTAATTACACAAGCATGCTTGGTACTCATTTTATCGACCCACTGAAGGGATGAAAGGCTGAGTCGGCCTTGCCCGGCCCAAGGATCGAACCAAGGACCTGTGGCACGACAGATATTGTGGAAATATTAATATTTATTTTAAAAAATAAGTGAAAATCGGGCAAATCGTGATTTATAAATAAATTTTAATAAATTCTCTAAAATCATTAAAATTGTATAACTAAAAGTCAACCTCATTAATTAGATATTTTATATTATCCAGTATAATATTATTACTTTGCGCACATCCATTTTCGGGCCAATCTTTGGTAACTAACAACTGTAAGAACATGCCATAAAAAATGCTTCTATTTACTCTTCTATTTTCATATTTTGTAATCCAGCAAAATTGTTACGAAAATATTTTGAATCAGTTTTGTAAGATACTGGAAAGTGTAAGTCCATTTGATTTCGCTACTCGTTTTATAGATTGGATTTTGTATTTTATTCTATATTTTTCCTGTATTTTATTTTTTATTTTCTATTTTTACTTGATTTGTTTTATTTCGCATATTTTTTACTTAATATCTTCTAGTTTAGTTTCAATTTCTTGGGTGCTGCTTACACTATTGTATTGATATTGACATATTTTGTTTTGGCTATATTAATACAATAATAGAAAGCACTCGTTTTGCGGATATAATCGTGTGAGCTGATGACGAAATCATATCTGTGATTATATCTGTAGTGGTGAAATGAGAAAAAAATTTACTAACCTTTTAAAATAATCAAACATCTCTTATAAGCATGGACAGAAAATCAATATAAAACTTTCACTTTTTATTCAGGAACTTAAAATGCAGGGAATGGTTAAGGGCTTATTAATTTGAAATTTTAAAGCATTTCGTGAGTAAGATTTGCTTATTTCCTTGATTTCTTATTTTAAAAACTTTTTTTTCGAGGTCACGAAGAGATGAAAATAATCGTTCATTTAAATCTTGTTGCATTAGATAATTTTTCACTGTTTCCAAACCGTACAAAGCATAAAAAAAAGTAACATTTTTCACTGGAGATTCATTAGCATTGACTTCTGTGTCAAAATCGTTATTCATTGCTTCCTATAAATCTGCGTCATTAAATTCATAAAATTAGTTTAATCGTGAGATTCGGTTAATAGGGCTCGACTTGGTAAATAGGCTTCGATTTAATTTTTTATTATTATGGAAGTAATATGATTAGACATTTTAAAATTAAATAAAAATTTTCTGAAACACTTATATTACATGAAAAACTAAATTGAAGGAAATTTAAATATTTTAAATATAATTCGTACTCATCAATGTCTTCTTCTTTAACGTCACCAAACTTTGTAATTACACCCACGCTTGCGTTATTAACGAGTAAGTCAATATGTCCAATACTTGTAATAGCAGATTTTGTTTCTTCCCAGTCTCCAACATCCAAACAAAGAGTCTTTATCTTGCCATTCTGAAATAAAGTAAGATGAAAGTTAAAAAAAAAATAAACTAAGTATTTGCGAAGCTTAGAGATAGCCAATCATTTTATTTCATATTATAACCGTCGTAAAAAATTAGTAGTAAACCCAACAAATTGGGTTGAACAGTCGACCCAATTTGTTGGGTTTACTACTACTAATATTCAACTCCGTAGCTTTGTAATTTTGAGCCCAATCCAGTAGATGACGGAACTCCTGGATCAAGTATTGGGAGAAATTTGCCTTCGTAGAGAAGTTCTTGATGGTACTAACTCACATTTGTGTTACATGGAGTGGAAAACCATGGAAACCTCCTACGGTTAGCCTGACGCAAAGGGGACTTTAACCCATGATCCGTCTACTACTGAGGATATTTTTGGTCAGCACTGTAGTCGGTTTAAGCAGGTCGCGGAATTCGTATGGACCAGCCATGGCTTGGATTCGAACCCCGTTCACCTCATTGGAAGGCGAACGTACTATCCTTAAGCCACCACATCGCAGGTAGCCAATCATTGCAGAAATTTAGCAATTAGGCATGATTTATACAAAAAAGTTTAATATAAAATAAATAACTTTTCGTTTGCAATTCTAGGGTGAAGGTAAAAAACCAAGAGAAATGCCTTAAACGCTTTTGAATAGCATTGTTATGAATGGACATAAAGCGATAGGCAAGGCATGGAAGGAGACAAAACACTTGGCCACAATATGACAACATACACTGTAACAATATCAGTTTATCTAAACACCAAAAATGGTGAAAACTATACGCCAAAACTTCTCAGAGTAAACTAAAATGGAGAGGCCTTATGCTCCAGTTCCAAGTAAAAGCAAGTGATGAAAACGGAGATTTAATCAAATCCCTATTCCAGACGATCAATTCAAGGAGGATGCTAAAATAAATATTCTGTGGGGTGTTTTCCATAAAGAAATAAGTGATTTGATCAAATCCGTTAACCTTTTTAGTGAAAAGGTGAAATAAAAAAAGTCGAAAGAAGTAAACAAAAGCTGAAGTAAACAAAAGCTGAAATAAACAAGAGATGAAATAAACATACGAATTTTCACTAATATTTTAATTTAAAATTATAGTTTTTTAACAGCATTTTTTTGTTTTCTAAATAAATGATATAAAAATATTATGCAATGTTTTTAACACTAAGGGAACATAAAATTGGTCCTTATTAAGTTTTATGTACCCTCAAACAACAACAACAATGTGGGAACGAATCACTTCTGATGTGACGGATATTCATAGAAACATGCCTTTGAACGTACAGACAGAACTGATCACATTTGTACGTTAGTCATAAGCTCTGTAAAAATTTTAAAATTGTTTTGTTAAAATGCAGGTTTTTTTCTGTGTCTCTAAAAATTATTTCCTTTTATGTTACTTTCGCAGATTCAGTAAATACTTTTTCTTGACATATAAATCAGTAATTCTCAATATAATCAACCTTAAATAATTAATCTTCTTTAAACGGAACCCTGACTTAAAAAATGAAGTTCATTAAGGTAATTGTGAATGCTATATAACATTAAAAAGTTGTTTTTTAAATATTTAATTAGAGGAAGGAAGATTTTTCATCGTTTTATCATTATCTTAAATTAGGCTTTGCGTCCGACAGTTAGATTTGCAATCATTGTGCTATATCTAGTCTAGTCATGAATTTTTTTTCGTGTATACCCATAAACGAGCATTTTGTGTACACGTGAATGCGTTTTTGTTCCTTCAAAAAGTCCTCTACGAAGGCAAATTTCTCCCAATACTCGATCCAGGAGTTCTTTTGTCTTTTGGATTGGGTTCAAAATAACAAGGCTACGAAGTTCAACATTAGTAGTCGTGAACCCATAAAATTGCGTCTGCTGTTCAACGACGGTTATAAAAATAAATAAAATGACCAAAATAAGACGAATTATTGTTTACTTCGAGATTGAAACTTAAAAGAACTGCTATAATTTTAAAAATGGCTTTACTTGATTGAAAACTTCCTCCGCTGCAAAAATATGAAAAAACAGTTGACATGCTTCAAGGGCTTCAAAAATAGGCTCCCATTTTTAAGACTTTCTTGAATTGAATGTATAGAAAAAATTGGTTTTGCAATAAAAAAAAGGATTGAAATAGTTGAAACAAATAGTTTAAAATAGTCGTTAGGAAGACATATTTCTCTTTCAAAGGATTTATTTATTTTATTTTGTTTTAAATATTAATGTAATGTTCAATAAAAGCTTCTTTTCATAATTTGCTTATTATATTGTTAGTAGATATATTATAATTTCTTTTAAAAATTCCATTTCTATTTCACTGGTATTTTACTTCAAATAATTTGATATAGGAAACTGAAAAATTAAGTAAATTATGAATTATAGGATGGATATGAATATAATTGAAATTTTCAAAATTCATCACTAATTTTGAAAAGAATTAAATCACAGAACGCTTTTAACTATTCCACGGAGCAATAGGGTTCCGCAGACTCCAATTGGGAACCACCGATATGAATAATTTATGCCTATTTATTGTGATATAAAAAAATTAAAATTCCACTTACACTTTTCTCCAGTTCATTCAAATCTGACGGGATTCCACTGATTGCTATCACCTCAGCACCGCATTCGGCTAATTTAATTGCTATAGCACTTCCAATGCCTAAATAAATTTAAAAAATCTTTATTATACATCGTTCATAAGATATTATTTTAGTGGTACCAATAGACATAATATAAATTCACAAAGTGTTTTTTCCAATGCCCATCTGTGTTAAACATTCTTTTGTCAATTCAGGAATTTACAGGGTGATTTTGTTGGCCTCTCTTTCTGGGGTACCATATTAGGTGGGCCAACGTTGCTCCCACAGTAAGGACAGATAGTACAGAGAAAGAACATTCATGCCTTGCCCGGGATTCGAACCCAGAACCCATCTGATGCAAGGGCAGTTCCCAATCCCCTACACAGGCCAGTTGGCTAAATTCATAATGTAATTATTTTTATTTTACACAAAGCATTTTATCAAAAAAAAGATTTAATTAGAGATAGAAAAAACTTCTTGTAATCTGAAAACTACTCCCAAGTTTTGAATTACAAAATTAAATTTAAGTAGGGTGAATAAAATGACAGTCAATATACGAAGCAACTAAACGCAAAAAAATATTTTAATTATTCAAAAACCTAAACAAAAATGATAAACATATTGACATTACGTTAACATTAAATTAAACTGGATTAGAAATATTATTTCATCTTTCATCACTCTAAATTTGTGGGAAAAGGGTTAGATCTTAACAACTTCCCTCCTGACAAAAAATATAAATATTACAAAAGTGGCGACATCTTGTAAGCATAATTGCTTTCTGAGTTGAGAAAGTAGTAAAGATCCCATATTTTATATTTCATTGACTGTCTAGCTGAAGCCAATAGTGTTTGAAAAATTATTGTTCATTTTTAATTAAGAAAATATTCTATCGGCAAAGAATTTCGAAAAAAAATCGCTTTACTTTTAGCTTTTAGACTACTTTGTATATTGAGCAATATATTCGTTGCAGTATTAACCCTTTTATGGGGCATTTATTTCTGGTAAAGGTAAATTAAAGTATTTTTTGAATTGAAATTGTTTCAAGAATAGTAATTGATATAAGAAAGAAAAACCCATTTAGTTTATAAACAGGCAATTTTTTTGGTGGTAAATATATTTACCCCAACCATATATTACTTATTGGCTTTTATTTTTCTTTATTTATAAAATAAATCTTATAAATGCTACAAACTTCAAAAAGAATTATGTATTTTGTAACTTTTATATGGTTTTTTAAACTAACAAATGGTTACCAATTTTATTCAAACGCACTTCAAGAAAGCTGAAGTTATTAACAAATGGAAACCTAAATTAAAAGTGGTAAAAAAGTGGTGGGAAGTATACTTCCCACTGCCTTCGAAAAGGTTAAGAAGGTAGTTAACATCACAATATGTATTACTACGTAAATACCCGTTCTTCGCCCAGGGTGAAGAAAAGAATCACTAAATTAGTACTGAACAAAATTGAAAATTCATGCACAAAACTGAAAGACAAACACTGACACAATATCTTTTTATTTATTACTATTTGTTGCTCTTCGCCATGACCGAACGTAAATAGACTAAGCAAAACATATATTTGTAGTTCATCCCATGAAAATAAAGGCTAACTGTATTCAGTATCATCTGACAACTCATATTTAAAATTTACCACAATCAAGCAACTTTCTCCTATACTTGTTTCTTTGAGTGCCGTAAAAAACCTATTTCCTCAGTATCTATCATAAAAATGCACACTCTTGGTGCAGCTTTCGTAAGCACTAAATTTACTCATAAAATACTTTCCACCTAGATAAGAAATATTTGGTACCTATTAAAACTGTACTAATTACATGCCAGTAGTTTTTATTACCAAAATTAAGCATATCTGATGTCAATAATAGTATGGCAACTTTTTATAAATAAGTACCATAAAGAATAAGTAATTTTTCTCCCATTAATTTTGCTTTTTAACACATAGTTTCCTTTTTTTAATTTCAATTAGTACCTAATAATGAAATTAATTAAGCATCATTGACGTCAATAATTGCTTGCCAATTTTTTTACGCTCTCTTGAATTTATTAGTATCATTTCTCTAATCTTGCTCTTTAGCACATAGATAAGTTTTACTTTAATTAGTAACTAACATCAAAATTATTTATCATTGGCTTCAATAATAACTTTGCTCTTTTTTACGTTCCTTTTAAATGAATTAGGATCCTTTCTCCATTAATTTTGCTTTATTTCAATTAGCGTTGATTTTACATGATTTGGTTTTATACCAACATGTTTTAAAAGCGTGACAATAAACAAAATAAACACGTAGTTTCAGATCAGTTTCGAAATACTTATATGGTAATGTAGTCATCGTAGGCTAAAACGTTAACGTTATCATTTTGTTAATATGCCATAACGTATTAAAATGCATTGAACAATTCAAGCATAACGAATTAACTTTCCATTTAGTTCGCTTTAGTCTCCGGTGACTGACAGTGTGAAACATGTTTTAAAACTAAAAGAAATTACACTGTTTTAAATAGTTATTGAAAATTTAGGTTTAAATTTATATAAAATTTACTTAATTTTTATTGATAACAAATTAATGAACTATTTTAATATCAGTTGCAGTGTGCTGCGCATTGCTAGACCACAATACGAGCGCTTTTAAAGGAAGATGCCTTAAAGAATATCAATGGCGTTCAACGTATTAAACAGTAATTCTAAATTCTACTTTATGTTGTTGTTGTTGACGTATGCTTGTTTAGGGAGAGGGGTGCGATTGTTCTTGTTTTCCAGTAGCGCCATCTATGGCCAAGAATTCGACTTCGCCACATCATACGTCGCACCCGTTTTATAGGACGGGAACCATTCATACATCAATTCATTCATCCACAGATCGTAATTTTGACCTGAATCAGAGAATGATCGATCTCCAATCCAGTACCCCCAGAGGTATTGATTTGTCATGGGAACATGGAGGACTTATGTGACTCGACAGATTTAACATGCATCAGTCACTTTACTACACGGGGAGTCTTCGGTCAGCGGGGTTTCGAACCGACGAACTCTCGGGCATGGGCCCAGCACACTATCGACCAGGCCATCCCGGTCCATTCAACTTTATAAGTTAGGGAATAAGTTTTTAGACCTTATTCTATCCGTGCCACTGACAATATTTTATCGCAATTGTAAGAGAAAACAAGATAGGAAAAATAAAATTCTAAACACAATTACCTTTTCCTGCTCCTGTAACTAAAGCCTTTTTTCCTTTAAGACTGATCCAAGGATTGTGATTATTAGTCTCTACCTCTTCAAAATTATTATCAAGTTCTGCTTCATTTTGGATTGCACTCTCTTCACTTTTTTGTTGCTTTTCATTAGAAATATCCTCAATCATTTCAACCTAAATGGACAATTATGCGTTAAATTAAGTAAAAAATATTACTTTACAAAATAAATCATAACATTTATTTCATAAATAACTTTTATTTTAATCAAAACAAAAAGAAGGAAATATTTTTTAGATGATTTAAAAATTCTTGCTAAATCAAATTTGACTTATCGTGTCATTAAAGTAATAATTAAAAATGTATTTTCTTTTTGTTTCCACTATGGAACTCTACCACCAACTTGCTTTTCTAGCTTATGTACAACGCGAACAGGGCGGTGTTTCTTAACTGTTTTATTTTGAGGTTTATGTTTGCGTCATAAGCAAGGTGAACTCTGACGTAAAGAAAGAGATTTAACCGGTTCTATAACGTAATTATCTTTGCTTTGTGAAGAAAAAAAACCCTCTTCAAACGCTTCAAAACCGGTTTTTGCTTACACTCAAAGCAAAAAAGTGACTTTTATGAGGAAAATATTTATGTTTTGCCTAAACGTTTTTAGTTAAACGGTTAACAGTTATCGTAGCTTGTCATAAAGGGGAATTTTGACTAGTTGTTTATTCCTACTTTAGCCAACGATTGTCCAGATTTGAGTGCTAAACTCGTTGTTATATTAAAATTAAAAATTATTCAAATCAAATATTTATAATAAGTTTTTACTTTTTTTCTATTATTACAGATTTACAAACACAGATTGAGTTACATGGAGGTCACTATCTGGGAAAAATTTAAAAAGTGAAGAAAAATACTTTATAAGTTTATCGTTTAAACTCATAAATTTCGTGTCGATTTTAGGAATTTGGTTGGTCAAGTATAACGTAGATAATGATTTTACAAATATATTTGGGCATCAGTTATTGGTGAGAATAATTTATTACTTCAATTTTTACATATATATATATCTATATATATATATATATATACA